TATCAAATCTACTCTCCTCTCTTCTCTCTCTTCGTCTCCTCCTCCTTCCCCCTCCTCCTCCCTCTTCTCTCTTCCTCCCTTCTCTCCGTCTCTCTCTCCTTCCTCCTTCACATCTCCCTCCTCCCTCTCCTCATCTCTCCCTCTTTCTTCTCCTCCTCCTCCCTCTCCTTCTTACACCTCTCCTCCTATCCATCCTCCTCCCTTCCCTCTCTCCCCTTCTCCCCCTCATTCTCCCCTCCCCTCTTCCTTCCTCCCCTCCCTCCCCCTCCACCACCCCCAAACCCCTCCTTGCTGGATAAGGCAGGTGAATAAACGGCCGCATGAGTGGCGTTGTGTTACGCCGTAACCTCATTCCCCCCCTTTTCTCCCTTCCTGACCCCAACCCGTCAACCCCCTCTCCCCAAACTGAACCCCCACTAGTCACCCCCCCTTCTCCCCCCTCACCCGGTCCCCCTTCTCCCTCTCCCACCCGGTCACCCCCCCTCCTGCTTGCATCGCACGTGCTAAAAAAAGGGGGGAAGCGAAGAGACAAAGAAAAATATGATGAAAAGGAGAGGAAAGGAAAGGAAAATGAAAAGGTAGAGAAAAAGAAAAGACGAAAGAAAAAAATAAAAAATAAAAATAAAAGGGTATAAGAAAAAAAATCTGAAAAAGTAAGAAAGAAAAAATAAAGACCAGAATAGAAAACCAAAGAAAATAAAATAATAGAAAAAAAGAAAAGACTAAGAAAGGAAAGTAAAGACGAGAATTCAAAAAAAAGGAAAAAAATGGCCACCAACAGCTGCCATAAGTCACGTGACACCAGCGAATATCTTAATTTTTTTATCCTATCAATTTCACTTCCCAAAGAAACCTCTCACTAAAGCAATTTTTTTTAATGCCTCCTCTCCCGTGGGCGTTGCTTGGCGCCATTAAATCTGATTCTAATTAATAGTGACTGGGCATTGCGGTCATTAGCGAACGCTGGTCGGGGTCATTAAATCGCCTTATTATACGAATTAAATCAATGTCGTTCTAATAATATATGAACTGAAATGATAATACAAGTGAAATAATTACAGATTGGAACAAAAAGGTGAAATTAAATAATAGCGGAAATACTAATAATAAGAAAAGGTGAAATTAACATAAAAAATGAAATTATTAAATAAAAGTGATATAAAATAAAAAATAAAAATAAATAAAGAGAAATACTAACAAAAAAGGTGAAATTATAACAAAAGATTGCAACAATAACATAAATGTGAAATACTGAAATGAATAAGTGAAATACCGACGTAAAAAAATGTGAAACACCAAAAAGGCGAGGTCTGGGTCCGAGAAACGATCGAACACCGACGCGTCTTTAGCGAAACCTCCTGAAGAAGAAGCTCGCCCGCAAAGCCCCGGTGGACAGCAATTAGAAAACCCCGAGAGCCGCGTCCTTTCCCCTCTCTCGTTCCGGGCGGTGTGGGGGTCCTAGCCTGGAGCATCCCCCTCCCCTCCCTTCCCTCGCCCTACCTTCTCCCTAGCTTTCTCTCCCCTCTCCCTCCCTCCCTCCCCCCTCCCCCGGCGCCTCCCCGCAAACATGCCGGCTGCACGCGCGTACGTACGAACACACACACCTGTACGTCACGCCAAACGGAGCACCGCGCAAAATGCTAACTATCCCTTCGTGATTTGGCACGGCTCACGCACGCCCCGAATATATATAGGAGGGGGATCCTGCCGAAGACACCCCCGCTCTCCCTCCCCTTCCCCCCGGGACGCAAAAAGGCGGGAAGAAGACCCCGAGCAGATAATAACGGCGGAGCCTCGGCGCGCCGCTGCAACCGCAACAAAATGGCGGCGCCGTGAGCTGCATGCTGATTGGCCTTCGCGGCGTCGGAGCTGCCACGGGGACCGCGCCACGAAGACAAGGATCTCCCGCGACACGTCCTGGCAGTGACACACGCGGCGGCGGCGGCGGAGGCACTCTCGCCCGTCACGGCGGCGGGGGTGCACGCGTCCTGAGGGAGGAGGGGGAGGAGGAGGAGGAGGAATGGAGGGGAGGAGGAGGAAGAGGAGGGGAGAGGGGGAGGAAAAGAGGGAGGAGGAGGTAAAGGAGAAGGAATAGAAGGAGGAATGGGAGGGGAGGAGGAGGAGGAAGGAGAAAGGGGAGGAAAACAGGGAGGAGATATGGAGGAGGAGGAAAGTACAAGTAGGAGGATATGGAGGTTTAGGAGAAAAAGAAGAAGAAAAAAAAGGAAAATAAAAGCGAACCTCTCTGTTCCACCTCGACAAACCGACAGCGACCTTCGATGAAAAAAAAAAAAAAAAAAAAGAGAGGAAGAAGAAGAGAGAAGAAGAAACGCATCTCCCCGCGCCGTCAATTAATCCCATCAATCCCACCGCCTTTCCTCACAGCTCGCGCCGCCTGCCTGCAGATCGACGCCAGAGCTGCCCAGGCGACGCGGGAAGGCGCCGACGCCACGCAACACCGCAACGACTGCCAAGGCCCTCGCGTAAAATTTCCCGACGAGGAGACCGGTTGATAAGGAGGAGGAGGAGGAGGAGGGAGAAGAAGGGGAGGGGATGAGGAGGAGGTGGAGGAGGTGGAGGGAGGAGAGGAGGGAGGAGGGGGGGGGGTGGAGGAGGAGGAGGAGGAGGAGAGGAGGAGGAGGAGGAGAGGAGTAGACGACGAGACGAGAAGGAGAGTAGGAGAATGAAGGAGGAGGGGAGGAGAAGAAGAAGAAGAGAAGAATAAGAGGGAGAGAGAAGAAGAGAAGGAGTGGGTGGGGAGGAGGGGGGGATAGAGCGGTATTGGGAAAGAAAGGCGAAATAGGGAGAAGGAGAAGACATGCGAGAAAGGAGAGACAGGGAGAGGCAACGTCAGGGTGCCAGGGAGGCCAACCTTCCCTGACGAGCCCCTAACGACCCCTCCGCTTCTTCCTCCCCTCCCTAAGCATCCTCTCTCTCTCTCGCTTCCTTCCTTCTTCCGTCCACCCTCTCTCTGTCTTCTCTCTCTCTCCTTCCTTCTTCTTTCCTCTCTTCTCCCTTCCTTCCCTCCCTCCCTCCCTCCCTTCCTTCCATCCTCCCCCTTCCACCCTTCTTTCTTCTTTCTTTCCCCTCCCTCCTCTTCCTTTTTCCTTCCTTCCTCTTCCCTCCCTCCTCCCTCCTCCTCCCTTCCTCCCTTCCTTCCTCCCTCATTCCTTCCCTCCCCTTTTCCCTCCCTTCTCCCTTCTCCCTCTCTCTCCTCTGCAAACGCGTCAAGCAAAAATGGTAAAACAATACGTAAATCCACAAATAATTTTCAAAAAAATGGAATTCGTGACTCAATGCACTGTACTTCAAAAACAAATCAAGAAAAGTCAAAACAAAGACAAACACATAACAAAAAAGCAAGCAAAAAAACAATTAACATAAAAATGTAAAATTACATAAAAATATTGTATCATTCCGTCTTTGCACATAAAGTATAAACAAAAGGAAGAAAATATATTAATCAAAAGAAGAAAAAAAAATCTAAAACAACATAAACAAATCGCTATAATATCCCGACGAATAAGTAAATAGAAATAAACAAATAAGTAAATTATGTGAGTATATAATCGAATGAATACATATACAATAAATAACCGAGTGAATGAACAAAAAATCATAAAAAAAATGACTAAATGAATAAAAAAACGCAAAACAAAAACAGCGAAAAAGCGAAAAAAACAAAATGGCTGCGACTCACCAAGCGAAACAAAAAAAAACAAACAAAAACAAACAAAACCCGAAACGCACCGACTTCCCCCGATGCCATTTTGTTTCTCAAGGAGGGGGGGGGAGGGGCGGAGGGGGGAGGGCGAGGGGGGTGGGGGTCCTGGGCAAACAAACGTGACAATGCTCCCAAGAAAAGGCAACAGAACTGCCAGGTCTGCGCGAAAGGAGCCCGGTGGCCGGCTGGCTTTCCCTCGCTCTCTCTCTCTCTAGTTACCCTTGCTCATTCTCTTTGCCTCGCTCTCGCTCTCTCTCTTTCTCTCTTCTCTTCTCTCTCTAGTTCTCTCCCCCTTGCTCTTTCTCTTTGTCCGCTCTCTTTTCTCTCCCGCGCTCTCTCTCTCTTTCTCTCTTGCTCTCTCTCTTCTATCTCGCCTCTCTCTCTCTCTATTCGAGGAGAGGAGGAGAGGAGGGAGGGAGGGAGGGAGGGAGAGAGGGGGAGGGAGAGAGAGAGGGAAGAGAGAGAGAGGGAGAGACGAGAGAGAGAGAGAGGAGAGGGAGAGGGAAGAGAGAGGAGAGAGAGAGAGAGAGAGAGGGAAGAGGAGAGGGAGAGGGAGAGGGAGAGGGAGAGGGAGAGGGAGAGGGAGGAGGGAGGAGAGAGAGAGAGAGAGAGAGAGAAGAGAGAGAGAGAGAGAGAGAGAGAGAGAGAGAGAGAGAGAGAGCGAGAAGAGAGAGATAGAGGGAGGGAGGGAGGGAGGGAGGGAGGAGGGAGAGAGAGAGAGAGAGAGAGAGAGAGAGAGAGAGAGAGAGAGGAGAGAGAGAGAGAGAGAGAGAGAGAGAGAGAGAGAGGGAAGGGAGAGGGAGAGGGGAGAGGGAGGGAGAGGGAGAGAGAGAGCGAGAGAGAGAGAGAGAGAAGAGAGAGAGAGAGAGAGAGAGGAGAGAGAAGAGAGAGAGAGAG